TCCCCAACCCATGTGCAGGCGGGATTTGATCCCAAATCTCTGCTGCAACTCGATGGTTGGCACCTTGCTCTAATTGGGTCATTTAGAGTTTGTATTCAGAACCTTAAAGAAGGCATGCAAGTGAAGTGACTTTTATGATCAAGGGTCCATAGAAGGAGGTCAATTCAAGATTACTGCTTAATTGCTGAGGGGGAGGGATTCAAAGCTAATAATTGGGTGGCTAAGGAATCCAGACACTGTTGTTTGGACCTACAGGGAAGCTGTGAAGAGGTTTAAATGGTTGATTTCCAGTATGACAGTAAGAATTCAGTGTGGAAAGAAATCGGCTAATGGGATAGCTGAATGTCTAGCTATGAAAGGAGTGCATAGGGATCATCTTTTCTGGGCTCAATTGTAATTTGCTACTGTTTGTGATACTGCACCTTGTGCCTCTTTGTGGGAAGTTTATTGTGTAAGTTGTTTCTACTAATTCTTTATGAAATCTTTTCTACTAATAAAAATAAGATTACTGGTTAATTGCCACCACTGCTGACAACTAATGCTGAAACTGATTTGCAAGTGAGTTGGGGATCCTAACTTGAGTCATAGGATAGTAATGCTTACTGCTATGTCTTTAAATAATTGTTTTTTTTGAATTAATTTAATTTTAATTTTTGAAATTCATCTGTCAGTTCAGTGTATCTACTCTAATATGAATGAGGACTTCCCTCTTATTGACCTTTTCTTGTCCTCCACAATGCCAATAGAAACTACTGTTTTTCTATGTAAAGGTGTAGGTTTCCCTTTATTGACTCGTTTCACTGACAACTGGTTTCCACAGGTGAAGTGTTGGCAAATCAGACGCCAAACAAAGGCTCCTCAAGCTGCTGGTGTTATCCATACTGATTTTGAGAGAGGATTCATTTGTGCAGAGGTGCTTTATACCCCCATATTTTATTTTATTTTTTATCAATATATCCTATATTTTACTCCTTATCATTCAGTACCTATTCTGACTTAGTTTCAGTAGAAATTGGAAATTAGTCAAGTACTTTTTAGACTTCAGCTTTCTCTGAATGTTAATTTCTGCTTACACATTTTTTTATGAATAACAATTCTGAGTTTTATTAATATGAAATATTGAAGAGTAGAATATGCATATCCCTCCAAGGTGGCTGGACTTAGTTAACCACCTCTTCTGAATTCATTACACTATCCCTCTCCTGGGGGTTCTGTTCCCATACCATCTGATTTCTTAATGCTCCATCATGTGGAGGCTAAAGGGTCTAATTCCTTTGCCTTCATGGGTATGAAGGGGATTTTCCTCCTTCATGGACACCTTTTATTGATGAGGAGATTGTGTGCTACACTCATGAAAGAAGTGGTGGAGAGATTCCAAAGCTTAAAGCAAATTCCAGTATTACCTACAATAGACACCTCTCACTTTGTTAAATCTGATAACTTCCTTGTTTCTTTATTCTTTTCTTTTTATCAGCAAAGGAAAATTTATTAAATCGGGAGATTTAGAGTTAATACAACAGATTGGAATATACCCACCAACCCCAATTACAAACAAGGTGTTTACAAACTTGCCCAAAACAATTGCTGTCTATTGATCCCCTGCTTTGCTAGTACATCTGCCATCCCGCTAGCTTTTCTTCTAACCCAGTTAAAAGATGCATGCAACTCCCTTGCCAACTATTCTATTTCCCTGAATGCATGCTTGTAAATTGAAGGTGCTAAGTTATTCCTTCTCACTCAAGATATAGCTAGTTTCGCGTCTCCTTTCACTTTCAAGTATTGGAATCTAATCTGTTTTACCAATCTTAAACCTTGTTGCAGTGCCAATAATTCTGCTCTGGTCAAATCTCCACTCCAAATTGGTCTTGAGGACATTGCCATCACCTTGCTTGAGGACTCTCTGAATACACCACCTATGCWTGCCATTCTTGGATTCTCCATTGAACTTCCTTAAAATTCAGTTTTATTCCATTAGCTACCAGAGCATTCCATCCCAGTGTTTTAAAAGGCGTAGGAGCCGTATGCCTGGAGGTGTGAGGCAAGGCGCGCCCAAAACACCCTGAGGCATATGCCAGAGGTGTTAACACCTCTGAGGCGTAGGCACACACAAAAGAAAAAGAAAAAAGAAAGAAGAAAAAGAGAAAATAAAAGGGAAAGGAAAAGAAAGGGAAGGGGAAGAAAAATCATTGAAAGAGAAGAAAAAAAAGAGAAAAAGAAAGATAAGAAAAGGAAAGGGTAGGGAAGGGAAGATAAGGGGAAAGAAAGTGGTATGCATCTTCATTTTTCTTAATATAAAAGATTTTTACTAAAAATGAAGAAAAATGAAAATTTTCTTCCTCCTTCCTCCTCATCGCCTCACCTCTTAAGGAGGCTTATGCTGCCTTCTGTTCGGGAGTCTTACACCTCTTACGTTCTGAACTACGCCTCATGCCTAAGTATTGGAATACATCGCATCACGCCTCCCTGTTTTAAAACATTGTTCCATACCATGCTTACCCTTTCTTTCCCTCTATAATAGTGCACCACTTCATTCCACTTTCTAATAATGTTCTCAAAGGCTAAAAAGGTTCCATTTTCCTTACCTCATGTGCTACTCTTATCTTTATATCTTCTATTAGCTCCTTCTTTGACCTACTTTTTTCACTAGAGATTCTTTTTTTTCTTTCTTCCCATACAATCCATACCAGTACTACCTAACTGTCCTCCACATGATTCTCATTGTCTTTCTTGGTTGCCTCAGAAAGCTTGGTCTGAAGAGATTTACCAAGTCTTAAGGGGGCACCCACCTGCAACCAAAGAGAGAGCATAAGTGTTCCCAAACACAACACAAAAAATAGGAGATTAGTAAATGGGGGAATTGTCTCACCACATGCTTTGCAAAGGATACATTAGTAGAGGTGTAATGTGGGCCGTGTCGTGTTTGCCTAGCCCGGAACCCCTCAAAGGTTAGGCCCCACATGGCTTGCGACTTAAGACTAGGTGGGTTTGTGTCAAATCAGGCCAAGTCATTTTTTTTTGTTAATTTTGTTATTTTTTTTTCATTTTTTTGCCAAGTAAAAATGATAAAAACATTTGGGAAAAATAAAAATAAAAAAGACACTTGACAAAATACAAAATAGACAACAAATTGAAAGGAAAATTTTACAAATTTTATTTCATTTGAATTTAATGAATACAAAGTAAAAAATAATTTGAAGAAAATATAATCGAATTGGAATAAAACATAAAAATAATTTAATAAAATTGAAAATAAAAATATATAATGGTATTGACCATTGAAAAAAATAAAAAAATAACTATTAAATAAAATTGAAAAAAACTTATAATAATTTTAAAAATGTTGTACAATTATTGAGTATACAAAAAAATATTGATTTCATTATTTTCTTCAACTTCAACTCTTCAAGTGCCACCTCCTCCATCTCTTTGATTCAGGTCAATTGCTTCTGGTGAAACATCAAGTGAACTGATCTTGTAGCCTGTCTTCAACATCCAACAAATCCTTAAATAATATACACATCTTTAAGCTTTCATCATTCATGCATCTTCTCTTGTTGTTCAAAACCCAAGTACCTGCCCTAAAACAAGACTCCAATGGAATTGTGGACACTAGAGGGGTTAGTAGATCACGTTCCATGGTGGCAAGAACTGGGTAATTTTTCCTTGCTAATTCCTTTAGGCTAAAATATCAAAATTATTTAATTCCTTTGAGATGAGGGAATATATTAAATTAGTAAAATCAGATTGTAAATAAAAATTAAGCTTAGTAAATGAAGTTGATGATAACGTGGGAGCTATTTTTTGCCTTTTATATTTATTAAGGACCAAGCTCTATCTCTTCCACTACTAGAACTAGAGGTTTCAGTAGTGGAGGTTSTACAAGTTCTCTTATGTCCTAATAATTGAGATTCATATACACTATACATTTCAAATAATAAATTATTAACTTGATCTTTTTTTCTTCCAATTTCACTTTTCATATTTTCATAAGAAGATTTAAGTAAAACATCTAAACTATATTCTTTTAATCTTAAGGTCTAATATTATAGCTAAGCAAGTGAAAAGATCATTTGAGGAGATTGATCAAAGTCTGTTGTCCTTTGAGTTTTCGTCTAGAAAAATCGACTTTAATTTGGTCAACAAAGAGGTAAGGGAATGACATTCCTTGTTCCTCATTCCCCTTTTGAAGCCAAAGTTCCAATTTATCTCAGAAGGTGATGCTACTCCAAATTTTGAAATGGGTTCTAATTGGATAGGGAGTAAAGGGAATCTCACCTTGAGGGGTGTGTCACCAAGCCACAAGTATTCCCAAAAGCAGATTTCGTTCCCACATCCCACATCAAAGCGAGTAAGGTTAAGAAAAATAGGGAGCACCTTTTGTTCCCACATCATCCCAACCATTGTCCAAGATACAATGTATGATTTCAATGACCCTATGCCATAGCTTGTCACTTTCTAAGGGAAATCTCCACAACCATTTCCCTAGCAAAGCTGGTTTTCTATAATCAGGTACCCAAATCCTAACCCACCTTGCTCCTTGGATTTGCTAACCTGCTCCCACTTCACTAAATGGTCATTCCTCTCATCATTTGATTCCCAAAGGAAGTCTCTCATGTACTTTTCTAATTGCCTACCTATTTTCTAATTGCTTACCTACTTTAACCAATATACGGAAAGTTGATAGGTTATAAATGGGTAGGTTAGTTGTAGTAGTTGAAATTAGGGTTATGCTCCCTCCCATTGAAATGTAATTCCTTTTCCAAAGAGGTAGTTTCTTAACAAACCTCCCTAGCACCAGCCTCCAAAAACCTTTTGCTCTCGGATTCCCACATAAAGGAAGTCCTAGACAATGTTTTAAAAGCACAAGGTGCAAGAAAATCATATTACCAAAAAGAAGGTGCAAGAAAAGCACAATGGCCATTTTGTGCTTAAGGTGCAAGGCACAAGGCGAGACACATGCCTTTTTGAAGCAAGACGTAAAATAAAAAAAATAATAAGTGCAAAGAAGTAAATATTCAAAAACAAATTAAGAAAATTTTAAAAATCATATTAATTAAAAAATAAACTTTAATTTTAAACTAAATGTTTTTAAAATCCTTTCATAACTTCTTTCTCTCTTTCCTTCTCTTTTCTTTCTCAACAAAGCCCTAGATATTACAAGTTGGTATCAAAGCAACTAGAAGTTCTTGGGAGAGTCTTTCTCTACTGCTTTTTACTTGTAGGGTGAGCTACTATCAGACTATTGTTGGATGACGTTAGTAGTCCATACATGGGGCAGTGGCAATCTCTAAAAATTGTATAGTTTGATTTGCCTTGATTTTAGATGAATTTTGGGTCATCTCTTGTTATTTGATGCCTTCATGATTTATTGTGGACTTTTCAAGTGGAAAATTGCAGAAATTTCAGATCTGGTTTAGAGGCTTGCTTCTCTTGGTTAATGGATTTTTATCTTGCAAAACCTGGTTTTCTAGGTCATTTTATAGTTTGGAAATGACGGGAAGTGATCTTGTATTTTTCTAAAGCCTAAAAAATTATTTGGGAGTTTTTCTTCTCCCTCTATTTTGCTGCTTGCTAACTTTTGGCCCCTTTTCTAGCCTTTAACTGAGTTTGACCCATCTTTTGGGGTTTGTATTCCGGTTGGGTGTTGGCGTGCTCCTTGGTTGTCAAGAAAGTTGTCTATGAGGTATGAAATCACCAAAAGATGTACAAATGAGTTCTAGTGTGTGTTTGGAAATGTTGATGTTTCTAGTGGTACGATAACCACTGTAAAAACTTGATGGGACCAACTTTTTGTAGTGGTTCCAATCGGCTAAGCTTACCATCACAGGAAGAGGTAAGTATATTGAGGAGAACATAGTTTTTGACTTTTTTGCCAGCCTGAATCAGGAGTTTGATTTCACTAGGCAACATATTCTGAATGTGGGAATTGTCTCTCTAGCTACTGCATTCTCTCTTGTACAAGGGAAAAAAAGTAGGACGGCCATGCTATAGCCCTTTGTGATTGAGCACTTTGCCTTTATGTCCTCTAAGCCTAAGCCAAGTGGTATTAAGAATACTGCAACTGAGAAGATTGATGATGTCATTTGTGAATATTGCAAGAAGTTGAGACATATTAAGGAAAGATGTTGTGAATTCAATCCCCACTTGAAACCGGATAAGTTTAAAACTAAAAAGAAAAGCAATGCTCATTTGGCCACACTTGACAATGAGGGTCGGTTTTCTGATATGACCATTCCCTCCCATGACTCCTCTGATATGATGGATAAACTTTGGATCTTTTGTTGCACTTGGAAAAGAGTGAGCATCTCCTCATTTGGTTCTAGTAATCCATCCGGTGCATATGCTAACATAAGTACTACACTTGCTTGTTCCACCTCCTCTACCCCATGGATTGTTGCCTTTGGGGCTAGTACCCATATGATTGGTATGCCTTTACACTTTACTTCATATAAGTTAACCCTTTGGAAGGGGAAGATTATTGACGCAAATAGATCTCAGACCCCTATCTCAAGTTAAGGAGGAAGTCAAAGTTATCCATAACCTTTCCCTTGGATTTGTTGTTCATGTTCTTCAATTGCATAAAAACTTGTTATCTGTCAATTCTCTTAGTAAGTCCCTTAATTGATTTGTAACCTTTTTTCCTGTGTTTTTTAGGATCTGAGCATGGGGAAGATTATTGGAAGTAGGCATGAAATCAATGGAGTCTAACTTTTTGATGAAGCTTCAAAATATGGATTGTAGCCAGGATTAGAGTCTTGTTCCAATGGGAAATTGGTGTTTTTTTTTATGTGTAGTTGTGGCACTATCGTCTTTCTCATGTCATTTAAGTCTATAAAACTTTTGTTTTTAAATTTGTTCAATTCAATATCCAACTTCAATCCTCAATGTGAAGTTTGTCATTTATACAAAAAATGTAGGACCACATTTTTTTGCGAGCAATAGAAGTAATGTTGTTTTTTTATTTGGTTTATGCTAATGTTTGGGGCCCATATTACCATTCCTTGCATGGGTAGGTATAGATACTTCATTCTCTTCATTGATGACTACACTCGATATACATGGCTGTACTTGATGAAACATTGTGATGAAGTTCCTATGATTGTTCAAAATTTCATGAATACGGTGGAAACCCAATTTGAGAAAAGAATTTAAGATAATAAGATCTAACAATGCAAATGACTACTTTGAAAACCATCATCGTTTGTTTCTTAAAGAACAAGGCACTATTCACTAGAGCTCATGTACTCATACTCCATAACGAAAGGAGTTGCTGAGAGGAAGAATAGACATGTTGTTGAAGTTGCTTGTGGGTTTCTGTTCTAGACTCATGTTCCTTCTTGCTCCCATGAAGGATGCTAAACCTTCGGTCCTCTCATTAGTTTCTTCTTGGTGAACCCACCTTCAATTTACCTCTCAGGGTCTTTGGATGTGTTTGTTTTGTTCACAATATGAGTCCTTTAAGACATAAGATTTGACCTTTAGTATATTAAATGTGTTTTCCTTGGTTACTCTCTTGTTCAGAAAGGCTGTAGATGTTTTGATCCTCAGTCTGGTCAGAGGTATGTTTCTAAGGATGTTACCTTCCTTGAGTCCTCATCCTTTTTTCAGTCTTCCTATCATTCTCTTTAGGGGGAGCTTGCCAGTGAAGATCGGACTCCATTCAACCTTTTCATTCTTGTTTCTGTGTCTACTAGTTCTTTTCCTTCCTTTCATCCTTGTAATGAGGGATTTCTTTCCCTTCGTCCACCTTTTTTGTATCAACCTCGATCTTGGTAGCAATTCTTCATCAAGCGCAATGAGAGGGTGGTTCTTGATCTTTCTATTGCCCTCTGGAAGGGGAAAACATGTAACAAGTATCCTATTACTAATTATGTGTTGTATGATGCTTTCTCACCCTTTTATTATGCCTATATTTCTACCATCTCCTTTGTTTCTATTCTTCGTAGTGTTGTCTCCTCACTAGAAAAAAGCTATGGACCAAGAGATGAAGGCATTGATAATGATCCAAACTTGTCCAATTGTGCATCGTCCTAAGGGTAAGGTCCTTGTTGGGTGTAAGTGGTTCAACTGAGAGGTATAAAGCTTGCCTTGTGGCCAAAGGATATACCCAAACTTATGACATTGATTATTTGGAAACCTTTGCTCTAATTGCTAAATGAATTCTATTCATGTGATTATGTCATTGGCTGTCCAATTTGCTTAGCTTTTATATCAGATGGATGTGAAGAATACCTCATGGAGTAAGCTTCCTTAACCTGGTTTGGCATATATAGAAATGTTGTTTTGAATATTGGATTGTCTCAATCATAGGCTGATCACAACTTGTTTCTAAGGAAGTTCGATGGTTAGTTGACTATGTTGATAGTATATGTTGATGAAATTGTTGTGACTGGGGATGACATCTCAAGTATCTTTCAATTAAAGTCCTTTCTTGCTTCTGAATTTGAGAGTAAGGATTTCAGTGATCTCAAGTACTTTCTTGGAATTGAAGTTGCAAGATCCAAGAAGGGAATCTTCCTCTCTCAAAGGAAGTATGTTCTTGATTTGCTACATAAAGTTGAAGTTGGGAAATTGAGATACAAGCTTGCAGAAACTCCAATTGATTCCAACCACAAGTTGAGTACCACTAAAGGAGATGTTCTTCTAGACAAAAGGGGCCTTTCAGAGAGTGGTTGGCCACCTTCTCTATCTCTGTTTGACTAGACTTGATATATCATATGCAGTCGGGGTGGTCAATTGATATATGCATTGACCTAGAATCTCCCACATGCAAGCTGTTAATAGAATCCTAGCCTATTTGAAGGGATGTCTTAGTAAATGGATGTTGTACTCCAATCATGGGCATCTAAATGTTGAGGCCTACAAATCCGGTTACTATGCCTTAGTTGGAGGCAATTAGGTTTCATATAGCAAGAAACAATCAGTTGTCGCTCGGTCCAGTACTGAGGCAGAATACATGCCAATGGCCCATGGAGTGTCAAAGCTACTTTGGTAGAAGACCTTACTAACCGAGATAGGCATCCATGCTAATACTCCAATGAGACTCTATTGTGATAATCAAGCAGCCATAAACATTGTCCACAATGTTTGCCAAGAACCAATTTGTTGGTTGTCTCACTAAAGATCTTCATCATCCAAAGTTTGCCAAGAACCTAGACACGTTGAGATTGTTTGGGTCAGGGTCCTTTTGTCATTTTATGCTCCTTTTTATTTGGGTGCCCATATGAGGGCATACTTGTAATTTCTCTCAAAAATATAAATCATGAGTTTGAGAGAGTGAACAGTAACTCTCTTTTCTCCCCTCATAACTAACTTCTCTCCTCTTCTTGTTTTCTTTCTCAGCAAACCCTAGATATTACATGTAAATGAATAACCAGCATTAGCAAATAGGGGTTGACAATGTAAGTGGGAGATCAAAGAGTTGCTTAAGCGATGAGCCTTCAGTATACTTGGTTGCTTTGTTTAGAAGTAGCTCGGAATGAAATACGAATTTAAGGTTTATTAGCCAAGAAGTTGGGAAGTTAAAAGTTAGTATAGGTTCCTTTGAAACAACAAAAGTAACCTAATGATTTTACAAAATCAACTCCAAATGCAAAAGTAGAAAAATCTAATATATAGAAAAATCAACTCCAAACCTAATGATTTTACAAAATCATTCACACTTGTGCGTGCATGCATGTATGTATGAAAACACAGGTTATCTAGAAAATACATCTTTTCACAAATTAAAGATGTGCATTTTTTTACACAATATTCATATTTTTAGTTTTCTGTTTCTAACCAACTTTTGAGCCTATATAACTGTACAACTGCCACCTGTTACTAACTTGAGTAATGTGATGGCTTTCAGGTGATGAAATTTGAGGATCTGAAGGAGTTGGGCAGTGAATCAGCTGTTAAGGTATGTATCCATAGTCCAGAAGTCTCATTGATACTCTTGGGCATTCTTTTCCTGGGCATTGCATCCCAAGTGACTTTACAGTGTTCTGATTAATGAGAGTAAATTACTTTCTACAAATAAATTCTATCTGAAGGGGAACTGAAAATAGTGTTGCTATATGTAATTAACATGTAAATTTAGGACATGATTACCTTATGATATTCTTCAGGACAAGAAAATCTTGTCTTGTACTCTTGTATATGGCTTAAATATCTAATCATTACTGATAAGGACTGTCTATGATTGAAAATTGTGTACATGTACTATAACTTTGTGAATTGGCAAGTTACCTAAACTCATATCCATGGCAGAAACTTTTTTTTTTTTCTTTCCATGCCCGACATCACATAGATCCTGGGACATAAATGGATGGTAAATTTTGATTATGGTGATCTTTAAATTTTAGTTTAGGATAACAAATCATTTTGGGCACTGTTGGAAAGTGATCTTTGAGTGTCAGCTTAATGTACTTGGATGGCTATATAGTTCGTATTTTCCCTCTTTCTTTTCCTCTCTGTCCTACTTTGATCTGCTTTTTTAGGAAGTCTTGCCACAAACTTCTGTTTTCTTTATACAGGCTGCAGGCAAATACAGACAAGAGGGGAAGACGTATGTGGTCCAGGATGGAGACATCATCTTCTTCAAGTTCAATGTCTCTGGTGGTGGGAAGAAGTGAACCTTTTCCCCATTGATGTAAAAGGCGTATCTGCTGAACCAGAGCTTATTCTTTTGCCTTTTATCATTAAGTTTATATGTGATAGCCAAGATTTTGAWAMTGTTGTAGTTTGTAGACTTCGTTGTTTCTTTTGCATATACACCTTACAAGCCGGTACTGTAAGGAAGTCTTCTCCACATTATTATTGGTTGGTATAAAATGAAAAATCTATAGATAGCAGGAGCTCAGTGCGAGTCACTTTGCATAAATGCTTTCACCCATTGTAAATGTTTTCCCATATAGCTTGGGGAGTTCATATTAGCTCCTTCACTTGTGTTGCCTTGATACCCTGAGTCGAAGATTCTATTTGGTGGAGCTTTTGCCCCTCTTATTTCCAACAGTATTTGTTCTTCTGTTGAAACCTTGGCATAGAGGCTGCTTTACCCGTTTATTCTATATCTCGGCATACTTTAATTTGTCCACCTAGTTCAATAGTTTGCTTGACTAATTATTTTGTTGCAATATGACGTCAAAAAGTAGAAGACATAAAACCTGCGTATCAGAGTTTGTGCCAAAGGTGGAATTTCTTAGAGGGTAAATTGCTGAAACCTCCCCTGAAGCATCTTGCTGTTGTTGTAAGCCTCCCCTGGAGTTTAGTGATTGCAATCACCTTTTCTGAACTTTCTGATACAGTTGCAAGTAGACCTCTTTGGGTAGAATCTTCTAAATTTTTAAGGCATGAAAATATCCAAAATACCCATAAAGTTATTATTGAGGCTAGTTTCTATAGAAAAAAATAATACAAACATTATGAACAACAAAAACCAAGCTTTTACCTTCTGAGCAAGGTTCAAAATATTGATACGCCCGATATGCCGGTATGGGCGTATCAGGCGAATTGATACAGCTTTTGGTACTTTTTTTTTTTTTTGCAACTGGTTTAGGGGAGCTGGTTTAGACCTCCACACCCTGAACCGGTCAGACCCCCGATACACCCACTGTAGGGGTGTATCGGAGGGGTCTTGGAACGATACGTATTGGTGGTTGTGTCGATACTTTGAACCTTGTTTCTGAGTGATTGATATGAACCTTTGAGTGATTGATATGAAGGGTAAATTTAGAAAATTAATCAATTTCAGAAAAGAGTTTGGAAGGGTTTGGGGTAGGGATTAGATAGAAAATTTGGAAAATAAACATTTTTTTTCAAAAGTAATATGGGTATTTTGGATATTTTTATGTCTTTTTTTAGAAGTTTCGATCAAAAGGTGTGTGCAACTATGCCAGAAAGTTAATGAGAGCTGATTGCAATTGTCAAAATTTAGGGGAGGTTTTAGCAACAATCAGAAACTTCAGGGGTGGTTTCAACAATTTACCCTTTCTTAAAAGCGGTTTTAGAAAATTTTAGTTTTTGCAATGGTTTCATCAGACAAGGACCTCCCTCCATTAATAATTTGTGAAGTTCCGTTTGCATGGAATTGTCATATGCTACTGAACTTTTTAAAGATCCAATTTTACCCTTGGGCCCTTGTTCCTCCTCCCCTCATCGAGAATACTCAACCCTATACCCGTTGCTGGTTTCCATAGGGGATGAGTTGAACTAGGAGTAACAGATGGATCTGTTTCCGATTGTGTTCATCCAATTTGGGTTCTTGTTGGATCTCCTACCTCCTCTTTGACCCTGTGGTATAGTTTTCAGAGAGAGAGAGAGAGAGAGAGAGAGTTGCAATTTGGATTTCAGAGGTTTCTGTGAACATGCCTCAGGTCTGATTGAGGCGTGGGTCTAACCACAAGCATTTGTCTTCTTGTCAATCTCTGTAAGTTGCACTTATCGAAGGTTCTTTGGAGCCTTGACAATCAACAGAGATTGACCCACTAAATCTGTCACGTATTCTCTTACTCGTCAAAATTATTCATGAATCAACCCACAAAACCAGCTCCATTGCAGTTACGGCATAAAATTTCTTTCTTGCCTATGCAAAACCAACACAAACCACCAGCTTTAAGCTAGCCATTGAAGTAGTAAACTGATTCTACTCCAATATATATATCAGTTCGTATCGGTAGGGTATCGTTATGTATCGGCCCATATCGGTCGATACATATCGTATTGTGGCATTCCCAATATACCCCTACAAGGGGTGTTTCGGGTCAGACCATGGTTCAGAGGGTAGTCGGGCCTTAAACCGACTCCTCTGAATTAGAATAAAAAAATAAAAAAAAAACACAAAAAAAAGCATCGGTACAGGTTGATACACCTTGGCCTTATCTTTGAACCTTGGTGACATGAGTAGGGAGGTTGTTATTGCTTGAGCGCTAAACACTTCTATGGGTTTTTTGTGTGCCCAACATATAGCCCATAAGGGCATATTTGTCCTTTAAATTCTTTCGTTAGGCATAACTGGTAATACATGTGAGAGGGAGGAGGTTTAAGTCCTTTCTAAAAAGAGAAGAGGTTTTAGTATTTATAAGAAATGTTAAGAGAAGTTTATGTCTTTTACCCAAATATCATAATGTATCAGTTGATACACCCATATAGGTTCGAGACCAGATCTGCTCCTCACATATGGCGCCTCACATGCACATCCTACCATGCATTGGGAATATCTCCCGTACTTATAAGTTATTATTCAAGGGAGATGTTCCCAATGCATGGTGGATGTGCATGTGGGGTGCTCAAGTGTGAGGAACAGATCCCTCTGACCAACAAAAATGCATATGCTTTGTACGTGACAGTGTTAGATGGTGATGAAGATAATAATAGTAGTAGTAATGACGTGTCTAACTTTTTTGAGAGTCTTTTTATTTTTGTATATAAAATAATTCTTATTTATCACACACATTTTTGTTTGATATAATAAATATAATATTAAAGACATGCCCCAATGTTTTTGTGTTTTTTCTTTTTAAATTTTATTATTTAATTATGACATCAAGAGTTGACACATTTGACATGAAAGATTGAATTCTTGACTAGCCACCAAATAGGAAAACAATTTAATTTTTTGGTTGCTTTTAACTTTTGCATTTTGTTTCCATCCACTTGGACGAAAAAACAATTTCCTTTTTTGGTCAATTAAAAAAAACATAGATTTTGTATTGTTAAAAGTATTGGATAGATCAATTGAATTTATTGGTTGGAAAAAGTACCTTAAATATAAGATTTAGGTAGTCTTCGATAAATTTGAAATATACAATATTAAAAGTTAAAAAGATTATTTGGGTCTGAAATCTGAAAAGAAGTAGAAATAATTTTATACTTTTCAGATATTCTAAAAAGATAAGATCATTCGAGTTGGAGCAGTCTCCAACATTTGAAAATGTGAAATTTACTATTTTACCCTTAATAAAATAGTATTATAAACAATAAAAAGGATATTAAAAACAATATTCTTATTAATAAACAAATATTATATTTTTTGAAAAAAATAATTATTTATTATTTAATTAAAATAATATTTTATTTATTATTATTAACTAATAATAAATAAAATTATTTTAATTATTACTAATAAATATATTATGAAATATTCTTATTACTATATAAATATTAATACTAAATATTATTATTTATTTAAATTAAAATGGTATTATTTATAATTTTATAATAATAATTATTTTTTAATTGTAATATATCTATTATTATTAGTAAATAATATTAAATAAACTATTATTATTATTATCATTATGAAGAAACATATTATTATTTAATAATAATAATTATCATTATAAATAAACATACTATCATTATTATTATTGGTTTTGTTGTTGTTGTTAAATAGATGACAATAATGAGGACATTAATGTCAATTTATTATGTCTGAAATGTGTCTAATTTTGGTAAGATATGAAACCAGGTCTTACCAAATCAGATCTGAAATATCCTCTAATCAGACCTAAACCCAAACGCCACTAGCATCTGAAAAGCAAAGTTTTTAGACTTCAAACGTCTAAAAAGTGTTATCAAATGTCACCTTAATGTGAGATCTGAGAGAGGTGAAAAGTAGTAGTCTAAATTACACTTTTTGCTCCAAATTCACAAATAGGTGTATTTTATTCAAGAAGAAAAGTTACACAAGCTCATTCATACTTGTAAGAGTGTGTGTGTGTGTGTATTTATTTATATAAGAACCAATAGAATGTGTTACATTGAGAATATTAGTTGATATGTGCAAAAGACTTCAGTTTTGTTCATTCCACCCACTCCACATGATATGTTGAAATTTTAAAACTTGAATTTAATGGTTTGTATGAAGAAATATGTTGCAATCAACAATACCATGAGTCTAAGACATGGAATTCATACAATAACTTATTATACATTGGAATGTTCAATATCCACAAATCCAAGCCCATGACAAAAAATCAAGAAGCAACTGTTAAATTTTGATTTATTAATAAAATTTCTATACTTTATTCTTTTTTAATTTGTTAACTATTAGAAACTCAAGTTAGTGGGTTTAACTTCTTATAAATTATCAATTCGTTTTTTTTTTCAATTTCAGATCCATCACGATTTCTAAGAAACATATCATATCATCTACAATTTTTAAATTTTTAATGACCAAGGAAATAATCCTATTTTTATTTCTCAAAATTGTCATATTTTTTACATAAGTTTTYGATGGATCAATGGATTTGAAAAATCATTCATAAATCTATCTTATATTTCTTCCCATCAACAAAACTATTATTTTAAATATTTTTTTATGATCTTTGAATCTCATTATTTTTTTTAGAAAATCCATAGATCTACTAATACAAGAAAAAACATCACAGGTTCAACATTTAAAATTATGTAAATCTACTATTGAAAGAATTAAAAAAAATCAGTTTTTTTGCTTATTCTAGATTCCAACCAGCTTTCATCATTTTTTGATGAGACTTCAAGTGTTTTTATAGATAAAAACTCCCCCATAGGCCTCTAAGATGAAAATTGAAGGGTGGGAGGTGAGAAAATATGTCGTAAAAGTGAAACCATCAAACATGAATTGTTAGCACGCAACCTATATCGGGTTGTATCAACATATATTGGTCTAATGGTTTGTAATTGCTAATATAGGTTTTCTTTTGATAAAAAGAGATACTTTATTCAAAAACATCAACACATGGTCTTAAGGCAAAAAAACATCAGCATAGGCCAGCCGTTTAAAAGGATCAAACCACGACTGAAAATCAGGATGATTGAAAACACTGCTAGAGGATCTTGCCATGCTCGTAATCTTGTGAGCCAGGAGATTGGACAAACGGGGGTAATACATAAAGGAGAGTTTAGGAATCCTTCGGGCCAATAACTCCACATTAAGCACTAGATAGTGTTGTGGCGATATATCACCTTGATCTTTAGAGTTGACTCAAAGCGCATTTGGAAAGTCTTTTTATGTGGTCTTTTGGGCTTTTC